GGGAAGCCAGTGGAGGTTTTCTGAGGAGTGTGATGAAATCAGATCAGTATTTTTAAACAATCACTCTGACTACATTGTGAAGAATGGAATGGAGAAGTTATGAGAAGGATGTAAGGAAACCAGAAAAGAGGCTATTTTTGGAGTCTAGAAGTCAGTCTCTGGCTTAGGCAGGGAAGCAATGGCAGAGAGATTGGAGAGAAACTGAGGCCTTCAAGAGATGTATATGGAAGACTGAAATAACAGGCTATATATTTCAGAGGTGAGGGAGAAGCAAGGGTCATGACTGTCTCCTAGGTTTCTGCCATGAATCACCAAGGAGAGAGGAGGCTGTATGGTGAGAAAGGGAACACTGGGGGAAGAGCAAGTAGAGGAGGCAGGAGAAGCGAAAAGATCAGTTTTATACATGTTATACATCCAAGTGGTGTCTGGTGGGCAGTTGGATATGTGTCTGGAGCTCAGGAGAGTGACGTGGCTAGTTACATGGGTCTGGGAACCATATGCATGTAGGACATAAGTAAAATTATGGATGTGGATATGGTCTCTAAGAGAGTCAGAAAAAGGCCTAGGAGAGAACCCTGAGAGTCTCCAACTTTTAAAAGCTAGTTAAGGGGAAGAGGAGCCAGCAAAGGAAACTGAGAAAGAATAGCTGATGGAAACCAACCAACCAGTCAACTAACTAATCTCAGGGCAAAGTTGTGATGGAAGCTAAGAGAGAGAGTTTTGAAGAGAGGGGAGTGGTCACAGGGTCAAATGCTGTTGAGAGTCAAGTAGTATGAGGCCAGAAAAAATGTCTATTGGCCTTAATGGCAAGGAGGTCATAATTAACTTTGATGAAAACAGTTTCAGTGGAACAGTGTGTATAACTAGATTGGAATGTGTGGGCAGAAAGTGGAAGACAAGAAAATGGAGAGAGTGATTGTAGCTAACTCTTTCAAAAAGCTTTGCTGTGAAGGGCAGCAGAGCCCATAGCTGAAGTGGGCTGTGGCATTGAGGGAGGTTTGCTTGTTTTTAAAATGAGAAAGGAGCTAGGAGTGAGAGAGAGAGAGAGAAGACACAAGACAGAAGAATTAATGATAAAGGAAAGAGGGGATAATCAAAATAAGAAATCTCGAGAAGGCAGAAGAAGAGAACCAGTGGAGAATGAAAGTATGAGAAGGCAGATCTCTTCCTTTGAAACAAAAGGGAAAAAGTAAAGGATTGACATGTGAATAAGCTGACATATTTGACTGCAGGATATCCAATCTGATGACTTTCACTTCCTTTGTGGAGTAGGAGTTAAGATTATCTGCTTTGAGACAGGAGGATATAGGATTAAAGAGAGAAGAGAAAGTAGGAAAAGCCATTGTAGAAAACAAGAGTGAACTGAAGGAGTGAACCATAGTAAGATTTCGGGTGGGTGTAGAGCACCCACTTAACCTGGCAGCTCTGCATTAATAGTGGCGGCCATGTATTCACATGTCATGCTTTCTGAGAGTGATTGGCCACTCCGAGGAAGTGGTGTTTTAGGGTGGAGCCTGATTCCCATGTAGGCAAAGAGGTTGAGAGAATTTTTAGTGAAATTGTTAGGAAAACCTTATAGAGCCATGGCGAGCCCAAGTTTTCCTCTGTTCCAAAGAGATGGTTGTGGCGATCATAGCTACCATCTCTCCTATAACACAGCAGTAGTTTTCAACCTTTATCAGTCGCTGATACCTGTCAACCCCACTCCTCCTGGAAGCAGTTCCATCTTACACTTGTCTTTTTCCTCTTCTGGATCCTTCCTTTTACACTGTCAGACATAGGCAAGGGAGGAGAAAACCCTGGAGTTATGACACATGAACACGCTGTGTCTCCATGATGGAGAAGCTGTGGAACCAGAACTTTAAAATAACTGAGATGGTCTGGAAGTCCAGTGATCTCATCACGAGGAGTATCTTAAATAAATTCAGTGTCATCATTATTACAAAGTGCAAAAAGCTCTCCTTGGCTGATGATTAAGCAACAGTCCTCATCTGCAATCCACGGAAACTTAATAAGCAATTGGGCAACATCAGACACAAATCTCTTATCTTACTAGAGTGAGCATATGTTTTTCTTTCTTATAATATGGTAATGTATTAAGTCCATTTTAATAGAGTCTCAAGTTCTTACTCAGAGTGCTTAGCATCTTATTAACATAATAAGCAAGGTATTCCCCTTCCTATCATGTCAACACACCAAAAGTATGTTTCCTTTTCATTTTCCCAGGTATCATGGTATATTGCTGAATATTTGGAAATAGAAAAGCATAGAGTTTACTTTGAAATTCTTTTATATACTTCCACCAGGTAAGTACTGTACCAAAGCCTGTTTATTTCAAAGAGATACTTATGTTTAATTCCCATGACCTTTATTTTTACATTTTGCTACTTTGCACTCAGTAACTAAGCTAAATATGGCATATATTTTGTTATTCTTACATAGCATGTGTTTCTCCTCTCTTATATTTTGGAGTTTTGTTGTGAATATACATAATCTTTGCTGGTGCTTTTGCAAAGAACGGAATTTCTGGGATTGGGTGCTAAATTCCAGGTTTCGATCTTTAAAACCCTGGACTTTAAGTAGGAATGCATGTTATACAAAATAACATACTTCCTGAGCATAACAAAGACTTTGCAATAGGAAATAGAGACTTGCTGAAGCTCGTTAATTTCTTTGCTGCCATTCTTTCATGTAATGTCTCAGGAACAGGTCTGAATGCGGTTTTGAATTTAAATGGAAAGTTAAGAAAAAGACAATTGAGTTAGGCTTACTCTAATTCAAGCCTTTCTCTGAGGAACAAGGCTAAATTTACAAATTTTCCTTTTTTCTTTCAGTGTTGACAGAGAAGCCGATTTGTTGAAAATCCCCCTCCGTGTTTCAAGTTGGAAGACATTACTAGACTCATTGACTGAAAACGTTTTCATGATTGTTTAAATTTAGATTTTTTAGAGATTACTTCATCAAAGAACTGTTGACCAAATGGTAAATTTAATCAGGTTTCCACTGAAAATGCACAATCTCAATGAATCATAACAGAACAATATATAGGCAGACAATGGCCTCACATTGTACTAACATATGGGTCCTTGTAATCAAATTGTTACAGTTTAATGAGCCCAAAGATTCGTAGGATGCTTTACTGTTTCCTGAAAGTGACAAACTCTTGATGGAGTAGGACTTCAGAGCAAATGTACTAAACATGAGCACTCTGGCAGTTTCAGGAGTAAGACACGCTGTGTTCAGTAGCGCCTGCTCAGCACTCAAGGTGCTTTTCACTGTATGCCCCTCTTATTCAAGGATGTGATTACTACCTCGTGTGAACTCTTCAGCCTAGCATGCAAAGCCTTCTTACCAGTTTTCATCCTCTAGAAGGCTTCCTTTCCTCGACTCTCCTACTAGGCCCCTCAGAACTATCAGAACAATGTGTGGCTTTTTCCTACATAGAACCTACCTTTCTTGCCTGCACATTTCACAGTATGCCATCTCTTTTCTCCTTTAATTTGTGCCAGCCTACCTTCCCTTTCACAATTTGACATGTATTTTTCTAATAAACAAAAAACAAAAACCCTTCATAATTAATTCCATGTGGCTCTTCAAACCTCTATTTACCTCTGCTTTCTCTTTGTTGTGCTACTATTTTTAAGACTTTGGCCCATCCATTTAAATTCATTATGGCTCTATATTGAGAATAATGCTAATGCTACTTTCCTAGTGGATTTGTTGCCATGATTAAACAAGACAATGCATGTAAAGTACTTAGAACAGGGCTGACATATGGTAAAGTCTTGATAAATACCATACTAAAGCAAATACTTACGTAAGTGGCTGACTCTCTTCTAAGCCTTTCCTTGTGTTTAATTCACCCATAATACCTCTTTTCAGGAGGCACTTATAGAACTCTCCAGATAGAGAGAATACTGAAACCTATGTCCCTCATCAGTTAGAATGTCTTAAGTCAGATGGATTTCTTTTCATTCTCAAGCTATTTGAATTTTTAGATCTTTTTAGGTATTAGATGATGTTAAATTGTTGGTGGTTGTTAATTTTAGCACAAATACTAGTTTAGGATGCAATCCATTGTTGGCACTTAGAACAGTGCCTGGCATGCAGGAGGCACTCAGTAAATGTTGTTACTATTATCATTATGGCCGTGTTATGAGTGTCTGGGGTTTCTCTCTCTTTCTGTTCCCCTGAATTCAATAATTAAATTGCATTTAAAAATAATGTCCAAAATGCCTTTTAAAACATTCCAGAATATATTCATTAACTTAAAAACAAGTCAGTGATATCCTAGAGATTATTGTGTCTACATCACTTAAAGTTTCTACATTGATGACATCCTAATTTTTGAGATAACTTTTTTAAATTGGCAAAGCTAACAGAAAGTGAAGCATCCTACCAGATGTTTTAATTAAAATATTTTAGCACATCCATGAAAATCTTCAAAATCAATTCACTAAGTACTCAGAAAGCAACCACCATGGGCTCAGTGTTGTACTATGTGTTAATTCCCAAGGATGATCTGTAGAATATTAAAATCCAAACATGGATTCTGAAAAGTTTTGCCAGCTGCCAAGTCGGATTACTTTAAATCCATGTTTTAAAAATGCAAAACTTTGTTCTAAAGGAAAAGGCTTTAATAAAAACCTTTACTTTGTAAGTTTCCACAGATATTTTACCCTTAAAAAAACGCAGCTTCAACAAGCCAAGGTCTTCCACTGCGTGCTTACTAAAATTTAAAAGGTGAAAAGAAAAGGTTTAAAAAAAGCACTTGTGGCTAAAAGAGACCTTCAAAGATATTTTCTTTGAGTTTCTTTCCTTGGGAAATTCATAAATTTTTCTTTATATCCAAACATTAGCGATAATTTGCCTGTAATTTATAATTTTAAAAATAACTTAACAAAATCATTAATGTGCTGTGTTACTGATTTTGGTCACAAGACTTTCCAGAGTCTTCTGTTCCAAGACACCCCCCCTTGCAAAAATGGACCTTCAGTTACCTGACAACTATTTTTGTCCTGCATAAGATTGTTTTAGAACGAGCTTGGCAGCGCTGATCTAGATATCCACATATCCTGGCAGTCTCAACATTTTTAATTTTGGATTGCCATTTGCATCCCTCCTGTGGCTCGGCACTTCACCGAAGTCTGAGTCAGTGCACGGCGTCAGACCTGAACCTGGAGCGGGTAATTTGCGACGACGGAAGCCTGAAACTCAGTCACAAAACGTGGGGCGGGGCGAACGGCCACTGCTCAGCACCGGTTCCCAACTGACTGGAAGGAACGAGCTGGGTGCAACCTCCCGCCCCCTCGGCCACGCCCCCGGCCCCGCCCCCGCCTCGCCTCCTGTCGCTAGGGACGCTGCGGGCAGGGCAACTGCGATGGATCCGGAAGAGGGCTCGACGGCCGTGGACAACATAGTCACTCAGTTCAACACCTACGAAGACTTCCTCGACTCCCAGATTACTACCGTGGACTTGTACTACCTGGAGGTAAGGGCGGCGCCGCCGAGGAGTGGCCACCGCCTTCCCGTCCCTCGGACCCTTCCGAGCCCCAGCATCGCGCAGTCTTCGCCCCCGGCGGCGGGCCGCGCAGACCTCAGGCCCAGCGTTTCCCGCCCGCGGCGCCCACGCAGCGGCGGCGGTGACGCGCCCGCCCTGCTGCCCCGCGCCGCTCAGCGCGCCCAGATTGGCGCCCCTCCTGTCTCCTGGCGCAGACACCCGCGCGCGCACGCGCACCGGGGGGAGCCTCGGGTTTCTGTATCTCAGCCACACCTGTCGCTCCCAGCCTGTGTCCCTTTCCCATGTCGTTATCTTAAGAGGACGGTGGCTGGCGTCCAAGGCCTGCTGAGACTCTTCGAGTGTGAGGTGTGATTCAGGTCTGACGCCCTGTTGCTTCTTCCTTTGCCAATTTGTGTTAAAGAAGAAGACAGTATCCTTCCAGGGCAAGGGATAGTGTTATCTTGGGCATTTGGGTCTAAAAACTTCCACTCCACGGTAGTTGATTCAGAAAGCCCTTTGATTACGGGTATGCTGTACAGGTCGTTGTGCAGGCATATTCCTGTCTCAAATTTATCGAGTTAATCACAACTAAGGTTGATAGTAAAAAAAAAAGCCTGCCATACAGCAAAATTGGGCGTGAGGGGATTGGCTACTGTCTTCCACCCGACAACCATCCCATATTTCGGCCTCCTCACCCACACCAGGTTCTTAAAGGTGTGTGTGTGTGTGTGTGATGGGAGGATGGGTTAGGGAGCTGGGGAGTAGAATTGGTTCAGTGGTATGGCTGGTATGGTAAGCATGTGTCATGCATCATGGATCATGCTTTGTGATTCCTGCTCTTTCTTTTTTGGTCATCAGTAATTGACAGCCTATTATAGTTAGAAGAGCCTAGAGTCACGAGATTCGGGTTCTAATTCTGTATTAGTGCACTTTTAACCAATTTGAAACTCCATTTCTTCATCTGCAAAATGAAGGGGCTGGACTAGATTACTTTCAGAGTTCCTTATGGCTGTAAAATTTTGAGTCATCTATACATCCATCTGTCCATCCATGCATCCATATATTCATCTATCTATTTAATTAATACACCTTCACCAAGCCTACTGTAGTGGATGTTGCCTTAATTGCTAGGAATGTAAGTAAGAATCAGTTCTAGACTTGCTCTTAGTCACCGAACTTTAGTATAGTGCTTACAGTCCAGTCTAAGTTTTATATATTCAGCAAGTATTTATTATCTTCCAGGTACTCTTTTATCGTGTAGTATATTCTACTGCCAAAAGTTTTCAATTAATTTCAATAAAAATTAGTACTAATGATTCATACACAAAATGGCCATCTTATCTTTGCTGGATTCATTCTCTACCCTTCTCCACCCTTCTCTGTGCCCTTGGAAGCTGTCCTCTGTGGTCATTAGCCAGGCTCTTTTGGCTTTCGGTTTGTTTCAGCCCATGGGAGGTCAGAGGGCTGAAAGAGTGTAATTAGAGAATTAATTCCCTGTCATCTTCCTACTGGTTGTGGTTTGGAAGTGGCTTCATTCCTTAGGTTTGGCCAACTTCTCATTCCATCAGCTGTAGCATTCTTTCTCCAGGTGCCGGGCGGCACTTCCTGTTCTAGGGGCTGTTGCCTCTCCTGTCTCCTTTCAGACCTAAATGGTGTTAATGACTTCCCACTCTTGCTTGCCCAAGGATGCTTCACCATCTCCTGTTGGTTTCCATTCATCCTGCCCATATCTTTGTAAATTGTTCTTTTACATTTTTAAAATCATCTCTTTTGAGTTTGCCTGCCATGACCCTGACCTCTATATTATCATTTAATATCTCAGACCACTATAAGTATAAAAGTAGTGTATGAATATAATAACTGCATTGCTTTTTATGTGATACCTGATTAGAAAGGAAGGGAAGTAGGAGAAAAAAATGAAGACTGACACTAGTTAACTGTTTGGTGAGCTGGAGAGGGGTAAGGTGGTTAAGGAGGAGAAAAGAGGCCCTTCATTCTGTGTCCCTCGTGCTTTGCTCATTTTACTAGACAGCTAGAAACCATTAAAAGAAATTCATGACAGAATCAATTAGATTTGTCTCTGCTAGCCCAGATAACAATATTTGTTCTAGGAGTTAGTATCATTTTACCTAATTAAACCAATCCCCAACATCAATATAAAAATACTTGGAAAGTTTTGGGAAAATTTTTGCACTGTGATATTCCAGATTTTTTTTCTTGTTAATTCTTCCATGTGAAGTAAACACAGTCCCTTCATTTCGGAGGCTGCCTGTGACCGCTAGTGAAGTGAAAGTCCCACTGAATTTCTTTTCCCAGATAAGGAATCAAGGGGTGTTTTTAGAATTATTTAAAAATTTGCTTAACTAATGGATCCTAATCATGGCTGTATTGTTTACAGAGATTAGCCATGTGGAAGTTTTATTCAGAGGTTATCTTCTCATTATTTGGAAAATAGAAATAAATTGTACAAATTAAATCTTTTGGATATAATCTTAAAATTATTTGGCAGACATTGATTAAGTGAGATTCTAGGAGAAATCCTTAAAATAATTTACCATGTTTATACAACAAGCCAGCTAATAGCCAACCTTTGTATTATTCCATTATTTATTGCATTGAGGTACAGAGTAAATACTGTTCCCTATGAATATCTTAGTTCACGTACTTCAGTATCAGCTATACTCTTTGTTTATTCAATAGAAAAATAATTGGCATAAATTAGTTGCTCTCTGCTTAAGAGGAGTCCTATATTTTTTCCTTAGTAGGTTCACAGAAGTACTTCTTCCTAAGTAAAAATATCTAGTTTCCTCGTGAACATGAAATCTGAGGATCAGAGAGTAAAACTGAACCAAGAATACCACGCCCATGATGCTTCTGAATCTTTATCATATAATGATGAAACTAAAATGCTTTGAGCCTAATATCATCCTCAGTGTCTCAGACAATCCCCCAAATATATATTGTATGTATTTACAGTATGTTCCATTCAATTTTTATTTATATTGATTTCAAAAGCTAGTGCTGGGAGGAGACAAGAATGGAAGAGGGAAAATTCCCGAGGAGAATGTGTAGAGTGAGACAAGACGGGGACCTTAACACAAAATGCTGGAGAACTACCGTTACTTACGGCATGGACATGGAGGTGGTGCTCACAAAGGAGAATGAGAAGGGGGTCAGAAAGGTAGGAGGAAGTACAGAGAATAGGATGATCCAGAAGCCAAGAGCAGCTGGATAGCAAGACCAAAAACCCCTGACAACATTTGCACAAAACTAGGTGAGAGTTATTCCTAAGAACCCCAGCATAAAAGCAGATGGGGAGAAACCTTCCATAGCCACAACACCTGGAAGGTATCAGCATCCATGCAGGAGAAAAGCAAAGAAAACAATGAAGCATCTAAAGAACCCCAAAACAAGAAACTGCAAAATAGTCAACAGGTATTCACTGGAAGTGGAGTAGTCCAATTTGAGAACAGCAACTGAAACTGGGAGGAGTTTTGGCCACTAATTAGTAGGTGTGTATGAAGGTTCCCAGGTGAGGTCTGACGGAGCTGGAGCAATGTAGCTGCTGTGAACTCTTGAAGCTACCTTCCGTAGCTCACTTTTGGGCAGTGCTTGACAGAGATGCCATTAGGAGTGGAATCAATATTGAGTAGGATAGGGACAATTGAGACAAAATTTGAAACAGAAGGGTCAGATAAAAGTGAGGGAGTAAAAAAAAAATTATAAAAGAAGAAATTGCAGAAAACAACTGCCAAAGTTTTGAACATTATATGGAAACAAAATAAGAGGGAAGTTCTGTGAGCCACAGTTTCTTCTAAGATTCAGGAAAACCAAAAATGAGCTATAGAAAAGTATTGAGCATTCTAGGTTATTATAAGAAAAAAGAGATGAGACCCACACATCTATGGACAGCTAATTTTGGACAGGGGAGCCAAGAACATACAATGGAGAAAGGAAAATCTCTTCAATAAATGGTGTTAGGAAAACTGGACAGCTACATGCAAAAGAATGAAAGTAAACTGTTATCTTACAGCATACACAAAAATTAACTCAAAATAGATTAAAGATTTGAATGTAAGACCTGAAACCATAAAAGTTCTAGAAGAAAACATAGGCAGTATGCTCTTGAACATTGGTATTAGCAGCATATTTTCAAATACCGTGCCTGACCAGGCAAGGGAAACAAAAGGAAAAATAAACAAATGAGACTACATCAAACTAAAAAGCTTCTGCACAGCAAAGGAAATCATCAACAAAGGGAAAAGACAACCTAACAATTAGGAAATGATATTTGCAAACCATATATCTGATAAGGGGTTATTATCCAAAATATATAAAGAACTCATACATCTAAACAACAAAAAAACAGACAACCCAATTAAAAAGTGGGCAAAAGATCTGAACAGATATTTTTCCAAAGAAGATATACAGATGGCCAACAGGCACATGAAAAGATGTTCAACATCACTGATTATTAGAGAAATGCAAATCAAAACTATAATGAGATATCACCTTATGCCCATCAGAATGACTATAATTAACAAGACAAGAAATGTGTGTTGGAGAAGATTGGAGAAAAGGGATCTCTCATACACTGCTGGTGAGAATGCAAACTGTGCAGCCTCTATGGAAAACAGTATGGAGATTCCTCAAAAAATTAAGAATACAGGGCAGACCCTGTGACCAAGTGGGTAAGTTTGCTCTCTCTGCTTCAGCGGCCCAGGGTTTTACTAGTTCGGATCCTGGGTGTGGACATGGCACCATT